TGCCTTGGTGATTTTCTTTTGGGATCTGTCCTACATGGGGTTCACTGAGCTTCTTGGATGGCCAGCTTCTCATCTTTCATGATATTGGGGAAGTTTTCTGTCAGCAGTTCTTCAATGATCCTCTCTGTTTTCTGTTTTCTTCCCCTGTTCTAGAATTCTGATCACACAAATTTAGCTTTTGATTGTATCCCACATAATTCTCAGGGTCTCTTCATTTTTCTTTGTTCTTTTTTCCGAGTTTTCCTCAGAGTTGTATCCAAGTGTTTGTCTTCAATTCCACTGATCCTGTCTTCCACCATTTCAAATCTGTTCCTCAGCCCTTCTATGACACTGTCCATTTCTGATACCTTGTTGTTTATCTTTTTGATTTCTAATTGTTGTTTTTGTATGATTTCTAGTTATGAATTTATTTTTGCATTTTGTTCCTGCATTATTTTCCTGAATTCTTCCATTTTTTTGTCTCTATTTTCCATGAATTTTTCTGCCTTTTCCATGAATTTGTCTATTTTTTCCTCATTTTTGTCTACTTTTTGCTTCAACTCTTGGATAATTCTGAGTATTAGAGATTTGAATTCCCTATTAGGTAGTTCTAGTGTCTTTTCTTCTGCTGGAAAGTCAGCTGGTGTTTTATTTTGGATGCCTACTGGAACCATCCTGTCCTGTTTTTGTAAATGTTTTGATATTGTCTGCTGTCTTTGGGGGCACTCAGTAGTTATTTTTCTTGTTTATTGATTGTAGATTTGTTTGTTTCATCCTTTTTTTTTTTAATTTGGCTATGTCTGAGCAGGCAGGCTGTGTGTTCTTTGTTGTTTGCTTGTCTGTGGGAACAATACTTTTTTGCCTCCTTCTCCAATTGGCAGGGTCAGTCATTCAGATATGGTACAGCGGGACAGGTTTAGCTGAATAGGAGTTACTGGGATGCGTTGTTTGTGGCAATTACTGCAGCCATCAGGGCGGGTCAGTAACCAGTGCAGGGCAGGTTCCAGTAGGCCTCACCTGTGCTGCTTGGTGGTGTGATGTTAAGTGCACAGTGAAGGCAGGCAGGATGGAGGGGGGAGATTGTGATGTGTGGTGCTAAGATGGATATGGGAGAGAGGAGGGAGGAGCAGGAGCCAAAAAATTCCAAACAGAACAGAGTGCTTGGGGAGCTTGCTGTTGGAGTGGAGAGATGAGAGACTATGAAAGGAAGAAAAAGAAAAAGCAGAAGAAGAATAAAAAGAAAAGAAAAGATTGAATAAATAAAAAATTAGAAAAAAGAAAAGCTCCTAGGGATCCTACCAGTGTGGCTACGAGGTCTGAGGAAGTTGTTCCCAGGTGTTGAAGTACAGGCTGGCTAGAAGGTGTAGAGGTGTCACTCAGCACCTGGTATTCAGGGGACAGGAAGAGAAGGAAGGTATAGAGAGATGAGAAACTGAGTAATGAAGAAAGACAAAAAGGGAAAAAGAGGGAAAAGAAAACAAAACAAATTAAAAAAAAAAAGAACAAGAAAACCCCCCCAAAAAATTAAAAAAACAAATCCACGGAAAAAGAAATGTTCTTAGGGATCGCTCTGTGTGTCTGCACAAGCTGAGAGGGTAGGTCCCAAGAAGCACAGCACTGCCCGGCCAGAACGGGCTCCCAACTCAAGAAAACTAAAAGAAAACAAACAAACAAACAAAAAAAGCCCCGGGATCCCACCAGCATGGCAGCACGGACTGGGAAGCAGTTCCACACTCGAGTGGAGCTCCACAGCCCCTCAGGAAGAAGCAAAGTTGGTGCACGGAGCCAGGTATTTGAGCAAAAGGAGGGGGAGGTGGTGAGAGGTAAGGAAGAAATCAAAAGAAGCAGAAAAAAGCAATACCAGCAGCCTTCAAATGGCACTCAGGGAGTCGGCCAGTGTTGGCAGGTAGAATCCAAGCAGCCAGTACTTCCTTGTCAAGAGACTGTGGCCGTGGGAAGCAGAGGAGACGGAGTGGGGGTGAAGAAGGGTGGGGAGTGGGAAAGCATATATCACCAGTTACCAGTTGTTCTGTCTCCTGCTGGAAGCTCTGTGAAGCTGCTTTCTCATAACCTCTATTTGCTGGTCTCTGTAGGAGTGCAACATGGCGGATCTGTGCTGTGTTAGCTGATAGGGGATCTCTGCATGTATGTCTCCTTGCTCTCTGTTGTCTGTCAGTTTCTTATTCCATTTGGTGCTTGGCTGAGCTCTTTATCTCTTCATTTGATGTTTAGGGTTTCAGGACTGCTGTTTTCTGTTTGGCTTAGTTTTTCGGATCTTTGCTGTGGAGGGACAGCGTGGTGCTTCTGCCTAGAGCACCATGTTGCCAGAAGTATGTAGAGAAGGAAAACTATAAGTAAAAGCCAAAGTCCGTCCAGTGGCCTTCCAGGTCCTACATGATCTCATTTCCTACTATTGCTTATTCTGCACAGATACACGGTGGTCTTTACTGTTCCTTGAACAAAGCAGGCAGGCTGTCACCAGCTTTTCCTTTTGTCTAAAGTGCTCCACCCCCCAAATATTCAGATAGCTACCTTCTTTTAGTCTTTGCCCAAATGTCACTTTCGCGGTGATGCCTACGCTTATCACCTACACAAAGCTGCAATTTGTCACTCCCCTAGCACTCCCAATTCCCAATTACCTTGTTCTGCCTTTTCTTTATTCCATAGCACTCACCACCTCTATATTAACATCCTATACTTATTTATTATGTTCATTGCTACCGTCTCTCAACCCCTGCTAGAATGTAAGCCTCAAAGGGCAAGGATCCTTTGTCTGTTAGTTTACTAATATATCCTGGGAGAAGAGTACTTCACACATAGTAAATATTCAATAAAAACACACTGAAGGAATAAAGTATCTGAAGGATGACTGTGCAGAGCAGTGGAGTGCTGCAGAAGGCAGAACTAAGATTTATGGGTAGACATAAAGGGAGCAGAACTGGGTTCGACACATGAAAGGCTTTCCAAATGAGGGGTTTTCCAGCTTTGTTGTGCAATCAGACCATCTTCAGATCTTGTTAAAAACAACAGCTTCTGGACGGCAGACCTAATAAAGCAGAACCTCCAGGGGTGAGCCATGGATCACATGTTAAACACCCACCTTCAGGAATCACTGCCCTAAACTCTCAGTCAGTAGAGACTGAAAGCATACATGTTGGGGTGTTCCAGGAGAGATGTTTATCTCTGCACTGCAGACAAGGCTGAGCTTAAAGATTCTAGGATTTTGAGATCAATTTCAAGATTGATTAGTATATTTTGTACTGTTATTATTTAGAAAGTGTTTACTTTCCATCCAGCTCTGCTCTGGTGTTGGGATATATGCCTCTAAGAGAAATAGAAATGTTAACTATAGGTGTATCTCTTATGTGGAAATATCACTGTACATAAGAATACAGGTAGAAAACTTCTGACTTATTTTGGAAGTCATTGTAATTTCATTTAATGAAGATAATTACAATTTGTTCTTAATTATGTTCATACTCAATAAAAGGCGTCTAAGTAAGCAGACCATGGGATATGCAGAATTACAAGCGGCTTCAAACTCAGGTTAATTTCTGCAACTAAAGACATCCTTAATGTAATATTAATGTTTATTTTTCATAGAGAACACAGCATATAATGCATAGTTTAAAAATATTTGCACTATGTCTTGAGCAAATCAATTTCAGAAAAATGCAGGATTTCTTCTAAATGGTGGGTTTATGTAGGCATGGATCAAGTGAAATTGAATCCTTATAAAACGACAAAATGACACGAACAGGCAAACAGCACACTTCAGGCCTTTAGCCACTAAACTCCTCCTCTCCCAAACTCTGCAGCCTGTTGGCTTTGCCCTGTGGCTGGCTGAAAGGATCAGAATATTCATTTCTCTATTCACTACCAGTAAAAACTGGCTGCCCTCCAGTGGATTCTGACTTTCCCATTTGCTGTTGTTGTTGGCTGCTGTGGAGTGGAATCCTACTCATGGAGACCCCACAAGTATCAGAGTAGAACTGTGGTCCATTGGGTTCTCAAGGCTGTGATCTTTCGGAGGCAGATCGCCAGGCCTATCTTCTGAGGCACCACTGGGAGAGTTTGAACCGCCAACCTTTTGGCTAATAGTAGGCCGCTTAACCATTTGCACCATCCAGAGCCTTTTCCCATTCACTGCTTAGATATGATTACCTAGATGGAATTTCTTTCAATTCACAACTATCTATAGATTTTTCCACTTTTGGTAAAAAAAGATCATTTAAATTAATCTTTTTTTTTTTCATGTTTCTTATTATGGCATAAATTGTAGTGGGGAAGTAATTTAAAAGACTGTAGCATTATGAGGAAATACAGAATACACTTATAATTCACAGAAGCCTGTTCTGAACTATGTCTGTTCCGAACTGCATCAAATTCTTTAAATAATAGTGTATTGTTCTGAAAGCCTCTGTTGACTGTATCTTCGTAATAATAGTAATAATAATAGTAGTGTATATTTACTACTTGCTTACTGGGTGTATTAGGCACCGTTCTATGTGCTTTATATGAACTAGCTCGCTCAACCCTCATAATGACTAATAAGGTAAGTATGCTCATTATCCCTACTTCTCAGATAAGGAAACTGAGTCTCAGAGTGTCAGCTGCCCAAGAGCACATGGAGGCAGAGTCTGAATTCAAACCCAGCCAGAGCCCAAGCACTTAACTATGACCTTATATTTCACCTTTCATTGTACTTCTAAGAAAGTTCCTTAAAAAATGTACAGTTGGTAAGGATTTTTGAGATTGTAAATTTAAATGAACGGAAACTTCAAGAGCCATGGAAGACATACCTTTCAGTCTTTTCATTACTTCTTGTTGTCTTTAAAGGGGGTTTATTTTACTGTATTGAGCATATATAATAAAATTCTTTGGATGGAATTTGGCATGCCAAGAACAGGCTGAACTCCAAAATTTATAAGTGAATCCAAAATAACACTCTCATATGATCCTTAGTTTTAAGTGTTTGGCCAAAATATGTACAATATACATTAACTTGACGGGACACTTACCTGTTTCACAATTTTATGTCACAATTCCTTCATAGAGATAGTGAGTGAAGGAAAGCTTTACATCTTCTCCATCCATGTGAAAGACCAAGAGACCAGTGGTTGTCCTGGCTGGGCCTCCTTGGTCCATAACTTTTAACTGAAGCCAGATAGGAAGATATTCTGAAGGTGGGCTTTGCTGAAGCTGAATTTCTCCTGTATGTTTATCAATAGAAAACACTGACTGGGTTTCTGCAAAACTAAAAATGACAGTTCCATTGGGCCCCAGGTCTGGGACATCAGCTCTCAGGCTGGCAATCGTCAGGTTTGCAGGCAACTGGGGGGAAAGAAAAAGATCAAAGGGGTTCTGCCCCCAGATTAGATCATTGTCATTGACATCAGTGACATGCACATTTATAATTACTGTGGTGCTTCTTGAGCACTGGATGCTACAGTCTCTGGCCACCGCCCTGAATGTATGCTGGGATCTGGCTTCTCGGTCGAGGGTGTGGGCAGTTCTCAATATGACTGCCACAGGGTCAATGATAAATGCACCAGAAGCCTCATCCATCAGAAAATACTCAATTTGCCCATTTGGGCCTTCATCTTCATCCATAGCAGAGAGCATGAGAACCACTGCTCCCATTTCAATATCTTCTCTCACAGAGGACTGGTAATGAAGCATGAGGAAGCAGAGGCTGTGATCATTGTCATCCAAAACCGTAACTTGCAGCTGCATCACAGAGCTTCTAGGTGGATCCCCCAGATCAGAGCACAGGATGACAAGGGCAAAGTTGTTGATCTGCTCCCGGTCCAAAGCACGAGTAGTTGACAGTTTTCCTGATGTTTCATTAATAGTAAAGTACTCCTCAGTATTTCCATCTGTCAAAGAAAAAAAATCAAGAATCATTTGCATTGAAAATATATCAACCCGTCACTAACATTATGCCCATTCATTTATTCATTCAACAAATATTTATTTTTTGATTATTACATGCTAGCACTTTTGTAGGTACTGAGGATATAACAGGGACCATGACAAAGTCTCTGCCATAATGAAACTTCTATTCTATTGGGGGACTAAATAGAATAATATAGTTCAATATATATCTATTAATTCATCAATAATGAAAACATTTGCTTCGACTGATTTGCAACAGTCTGATTTTTTTGTGTGTGTAGCTGCAAGTTTTTTTTTTTTTTTTTTTTGCTCTTCTTTTTTTATAGTACTTTA